TTATAGAGCCACGCGAGCCCACCTCTACTGACACCAACTCTACGGTTTGGTAAACGCGCTCGCTTCTTCACATCGCTGGAAAATGTCTCAGCTGATGACCCTGAAGAACGGAAAAGAGAAGCATCCGAGCGTTGGATAGCCCGTCACTTCCGCCGTAAAGGCACAGAACCGCCGCCGCGTACCCATTATGAAATTTGGACGGATGGCTCCGTATTTCTCGGAGTAAAATCTGGCGCAGCAGCAATGATATACAAAGATGGTGAACTGCTCTGTACCACACATAGAGGCGCTGGCCCCCTAGCCTGCAGCTACACAGCTGGATCCGTAGCGCTATACGAAGGTTTACGGAGACTTCTCAAAATAATTCCCGCAAACAATCCAAACGCCCTGCAGGGTCTCCATTTTCACGGTCCCACTGTCGCTTCTCACGTCACTGGAAACAGGCCCACTGACCGTAAAAGGCCCAATACTACGGCTCCTGTGGAACCTGATCCTTCAAATGCAACGTCGCAAAGCCCGCATACGACTACAATTTATATTTGGACACTGCGGTGTAGTAAAAAATGAAAAAAGTGACATAGAAGCCAAAAAAGCTGCAGAACTACCGCAAAGAACTGATACTTGGATCACAGATATAATAGCCTACGCTAAACGAATACTTAAAGGTGAGGATACTCCTCCTCCCTCCCATAGATCAAAAATCGCTGGACCCTGGGACCCCACCAAAGATAACCCGGAACTTACTAGAGAAGAAGAAACAGCCTTAGCACGTTTTTCGCACAGGCGCTTCGCTTCGCTATGGCTGGCTGCTGCGAAAGATGCAAACCCATATTCCCCCTGGTAGTCGATGGTGTAATCCCCAAAAAGTCAGTACGCCGACACCCTTTATTCCAACTAGCCAAAAAAGACCGCGCTATGCACTAAACAAAGCAACAGACCCTGCCACCTGCACTGAATGTGGGTCGCAATACTCATGCAGGAACACCGCAGTACTACATATGGTCAACAAACATGGGTTCAAGAGAGCCGATGCGCTCTGGAACATCAAATTTCCCCATGAGCCACCTCCGCCGGACATCCCGCCAGAACCTCCGCCACCCCCACTACCCCCTCCTCCGGACACAACGTTACCCCGTCCCAATTCGCCTAAAGCAAAACCACACCCGTTTGCCTGCAGTATGTGTAAACGAACTTTTCCGCTTCAAAATGGATTAACGCGCCGCCTCAGATACATGCACAACGCCACGTGCCCTGTCCCAGAGAGAAAACGCCCGCGAGCCGACGATCCGATAGCATCAGAAGAATCAGCATTTCCCTGTGACAAATGTGATATGATAGCGCGCTCTAAAACAGGTCTCAAATCCCATATTAGAGCGAAACATCCTGAGAACCCCACAAAGGACGCACCTCGCCCTCAGCTCATCCCACAACCTGCTTCACTACGCTGCGAATTCTGCCTCCGCGACTTCGGCAACATTGGTGGTCTCGCATGCCACAAAAAGTTCAAACATCCACCTGGAACCCCAATTTTGCCAGCAACAATACAAGTAACCTTTCCACGCAATAAGAAACGCCAGCGAGATACGTCGCCACCACCAGAGCGTGAGGACAGAGAGAAAGTCCAATGCGGAGTCTGCCAGAAGTTCTACGCCCACCTAGACTCCCTCGTAATACACTGCAGAAAATTCCATGAAGGAGAGGGTCTTCCCCCAAAAACGAATTCCACCAATGCAAAATACAAGGCAACGAAAACGAGAGACCTTCCGG